CTTGATTTCCAGCTGCTCTAAAATATGATTTTCATCTTGCCCAGAGATAGTTTGTTTTAAACTCAGTCTGGGTGATTAAATGTGTTTATCAATGAAAAGAATGCGTACATTTACTAATACAATTAAATGATAATGTGAGTGTTTTCAGTTAAAGGTTTTAATGTGATTTTTGTATATATACTGTGACAAATTGATAATTAAAATACAGTGCTTCCCACCTGTTTTACATTTGTCACGTGTTTCAGCCCCAGCACTTGTTGCATGTGAAATATTAAGAAAAGCAATTTAGTTACCGTATTTTTCCGTGTATAAAATCCCCCCATGTATAAGACGACAGCTATTTTTTGAACCCAAATTAACAAATACATATTTTAAACATCTATAGCACTGAAATATAGTTTGGCTGATCATGATCCTCCACCAGTTCTTGGCCCCCTCACACTCCGGTAGGCCGCTCCCTGAGTTCCGGCCACATCCGGACACTGGTTCCATGGACCGCCTTCCTACTGTTGGTAGCAGCGATGCCCTCTGCCTGTGGTACCCTATGGGGGATGTCCAGGCAAGGCCTCACCCTGCGGTGTCTACCTGGAGTCATGAGTTCTTGGCGTGGTCCAGAGTGATGCGAGGAAGCATGAGGTTGTGCAAGATTTCCCAGACATGCACACACAATTGATAACATTTATTGAGAAGTGCCTCCTCTGCTTCAAGTATGTCATTAGGTTGCAGAGGTGTACAACACAGCCTATGCCTGCAGGAACCTGGCAGTAGTGAACCCAGCAGTCAGCTGGGTGTTGTGTCAGCGAGTAACCAGGTTTTGTGCCCAAAGTGCTGTAAGTATTTGGCTTAATAACTCGATTTTTGAAGGAGCACCAGCCACATATGACTACCTTGGTTGACAGTCAGGCCCTGCGCACAAGTGATTTTTTATTTATTTTTTAACCCCTGCAGTGACATTCCATGTATAAGATAACCCCTCATTTTAGACTAAAAATTTTTTAGAAAAAAACATAGTCTTATACATGGAAAAATACTGTACTTGTCCTATTTATTACTTTTTCAACAAATGCACATCATAACAAACCTTCCTGCAAAAGCCAAAATGATACATTTTTAAGGCTTGAGTTTCTTAGTCAGCAAAGTATAATATATTATTCATGATCGGTAATACATTTTACCATCTGTGTATTGCTTAATAATATTTGATATTCATTAGTCACTAAATTTATTTTATAATTAATTGTGGTGATAATTAAAGGACGGATTTTGAATTAAAGGCACACACACAGTCCAAGCGGTCCTCCCAAATCAAATCAGGCCCCTGGGAGCCATGTGAACGCTCCCAAACCGACCACATGGCTGCAGTAGCTGCCTGTGGATCTGCCTGCAGGGGGACTGCCTGGGCTGTCAGGCAGCCACCCAAATGGTGAAAAAAAAATATTAATTACAAAAATAAAAATAATGATATGTATATATAGTAATCCATCCAACTCACAGGTGTGGCATATTAAGATGCTGATTAGAAGCATGATTATTGCACAGGTATGCCTTAGAATACGCTGTGGAAATGGACCCACACCTCCCATCCTACACAATCCCTGGACAAGGATGCAAAGCCACAGACGAACAACCAACCCCAAGCTACATATCACAATCAAAGGCAGCCACGAAAATCATAAACACCTATACTCGTTACCAATATGAATAACCCACATTAACTGCGGTAACCATGTCCCATGAAACTGCAAATCCTCTCCTAAGGGGACAAAGAGGTTATTTTTTTGACAATTGCCATTACTGCTTTACAAAATCGTAAGCCTCTGTGTAGGCAAATGTTACTTTAACACTGCTAAACTTTCACTGCTACATTTACAATTTCTTGCATTTCTACTGCATCCCCTGTGTGGGAAAACTGTTTCCTGGACTGTTATCAATAAAAACGGATTTAAAACAAAGGTGTGCCTTAGGCTGGCAACAATAAAAGGCCACTCTAAATTATTCAGTTTTTATCACAAAGCACAATGCCACAGATGTTGCACGTTTTGAGGCAGTGTGCAATTGGCATGCTGACTGCAGGAATGTCCACCAGAGCTGTTGCCCGTGAATTGAATGTTAATTTCTCTACCATAAGCCATCTCCAAAGGTGTTTCAGAGAATTTGGCAGTACATCCAACCGGCCTCACAACCGCAGATCATGTGTAATCACACCAACCCAGGACCTCCACATCCAGCATCATCACCTCCAAGATCGTCTGAGACCAGCCACTCGGACAGCTGCTGCACAATCAGTTTGCATAACCAAAGAATTTCTGCACAAACTGTCAGAAACCATCTCAGGAAAGCTCATCTACATGCTCGTCGTAGTCATCGGGTTCTTGACCTGACTGCAGTTCGTCGTAACCAACTTGAGTGGGTAAATGCTCACATTCAATGGCATCTGGCACTTTGGAGAGGTGTTCTCTTCATGGATGAATCCCGGTTTTCACTGTACAGGGCAGATAGCAGACAGCATGTATGGCGTCTGTAGGGGATAGGATGGATATTTTGCCGGAGCTGCACCCTCTTTATCAGACAGGATCCTGGGAATCAGTCAAGAAGACAAGAGATGTGTTCTATAACCAATTCAAATTTTAATTGATACATCAGTTATACTTATACCCCATTTTCATGTCGGTGGGGGTCATTGAGCATTGTGACATAGTTTATTTTTCACAAGTTGTTTTCAGTTATAATTCGATGTTACATAATGTATGCATATTGGATAAAACCCAGATGATTACAAATACAGAAATCTTGGACAATTAACAAGGTCATTCCAGAATCCTTATCATGTCATGTCATGTCATGTCATGTCATGTCACGCCATGTCATGTCACGCCATGTCATGTCATGTCATGTCATGTCACGCAAATATCTTCTTTCCAGGAACATGACAAAATCATGCTTCAATAACATTTCTGAGAATTGGAGATACAATTCCAAATTTATTCTTGATTCAAATTAACCCTTACATGAACAGTTAGGATATAGAGCAAAATGGATATTCATATCCTACAATTCCTCTCTTTAGATCATATCGTGATCTACCTTATGGAATATCCATGGGAGGCCTGCGGCAGAGAAACGAAAGGAGGTATATTCAGACGTGCTAATCACGTCTGCGGGACTTTCCTTATTTCTTCACCTCGATTTCCCCCATTTGCTCTATGCCGTAGGTTTTCCCTTTAAGAGGAGATCGAGCTGTCGATTTTCAGCTTTTGTAATCATCTGTTGTACACGTTTCTTAAGTGTGCAAGTTAGATAACAATTAAACAATATCATTATTGCAAGTATTATCACAATGATGACAAGAGGGTAGAAAAAGGACCTTACAACTTGTGCGCCAGTAGGGGACCAACCTGTGAGGGCATCATACCAATGATGAGCAAAATTTTCCTGGATTTTAGAACTAACTTTAATTAATTCCCTTTCAACTATGTGGGTGGATATTTCAGTATGTACTAAGGCATCTTTATGTGCTTTCAAATGTTTAAACATATCTCCTTTTCCTCTTAGTAAATTAATTATTATTCCTGTAGGAAGTTGATAATCAACGATAGGTAACGCAGGTGGAATATATTTTTTAGATCTGTATATACTAGGAATAGGTTGCAGGAAATAAGTATGATCTTTCCATTTTATCCAGGTTGCATTTGATATACATCCTACAAAGGGTAAATGTTTATCAACTTCGGGAATATTGACAGGTTGTTTGGTAGCTAGGCACACTATTTGTGGTTCTATTTCTAACATAACTGAATAATCCGATGGATATACATGCCAAGTACAACTACTTATTTGATTGGCTAATAAGCATGGTTCATAGATGGGTGAGGAATGTCTGCATGTGTAACCTTTATCTGCCTTGTCACAGTGTTCTAATGAATATGTTTTATTATCCTTGGGGAATATATATTCTCCTGTAAAAGTTGGATTCCACCAAGTAAGATTATCATTAAGTATATTAAACATAGGTGTAGGTAAAGTAAAGAACTTACATGCTAGTTTTATATGGGTTGGAGCGACTTCATATAAGGTAAATCCAATCCTACATGAATAACTCGATATCTCATCTTCTACCCATTCCTCACAATCTACATCATTTGACCTTAAACTAATCCAATAATTGTCAGTCAATTCCATCATTTCTCTGACTTTCTGTATTTTAGGTACCATAAGAGTATTCTCTAGTCTTAACCTTTGTTGATGCATCCATAAAACTCTAGTGGCACATAAGGTCCAGTCAGTGCTTCCTTTTGTTAGGTTAGTAATAGCATATGTTAGATTACCCAGATAGGTGTACATAGATTGTTCTAATTGTAATTCCTTCCATTGTGATTGTACCATGGTAGGGGCCCATTTAGCCATTACATGAAATCCTATCCCTAATTCTTTCCCTGCCGTGGATAACTTATTCTTTAGTATTTCCATGTCTACACCATTTAATATTCCCATAGCTGTTCCTGTACCCCCTAAGAGGGTATCATACCATTCTCTCTTCTCTCTATTAGGTAGTGGATTACATAATCGTACATCAGGTGTAGATATATTTAGTGTTATGTGTACAGCCTTCTGAATTATAGTAGTGTTTACACATGATGAGGGTATTGGAATATGGGAATAATTATGAACAGTAGGTGTAGTATGTGGGCTACAATATAATAAAACCGCGAACCAACCTCTGTTCTCTATTCTACTTCTATTATATATGATACGGACGTATCCTCTAGGCCATGTGGCATTATACATGCTATGAACATTATCAGGAGCGATAGAAGTAAGGGGAACTGGATTGTCTTGATCTAAGGAAACATTAGTATTTTGCAAATAATAAAATATTGAACCAACTCCTTTGTTTGTGAAAGGATAAGGTTCTGAAAATAGCCAAGCAAGAGTATAAAAACCAGTAGTGTTAGTAATTGTTATAGAGCAATTTACGGAATCATCATGCAATGGTTTGACCACTACTTGTGCAGTCTTTGCAGCAATGCATATTTGACCTTTAGTTGTAATATTAAGTACAAGGCAGGTTTTGCCGCCATTACATATAAAATCCTCTTGTGTTCTAGTCTCTTTAGCACGGCTCCACCAAAATACTGATTTAGAAGAACAATTGGTGTAAGTTTGCAAAGTCTTGTCTGTGGGTAGTGATCTTTTGTGTCTGGTTCTATTAGTAGGATGATCAAGGCCTAATTGGACACTGTAACTGGTGGAGTTGTGATCTTTCCAGAAGCAGACCTTCTGGAACTCTCTCATATTCTCATAATCATAGTGACAATCAAGAAGGACAATCAGCGGTAGGAAGAGAATCATGGAGAGAATTAGGATGATGAAAAAATTCTTTGCCCCATGCAAGGGATCCAATAGGTTTACTTTAGCCATAGCACTTCAGATAAGGATGTTGGGTCGTCAGGGCCAATCGGAGTAAGGACCTTAAGCTTGTCTCCTACTTCACCTCTCTTTGGACACGGCTTCAGACGGGATGCATGGATCCAGATATCTTGGGAATCGGTGAGCACAGCGGTTCGGGTCACGGCAATCACAGTGGTAGGCGGACCAAAAGGAAACTTTCCCTTCCTGCTCTTGTTCAGCTGTCGGATACAGACCAGATCACCAGGCTGATAAGGATGTGTAGGTTCCTGTGAGGGTAGAGGAAACTGCACGGAAACATCACCATATACAGAGTTGAGTTTAAAAATTAACTGTTTAACATATTCTTCCTGGATTAAGTCTAAATCACCAGGCATAATAACAAATCGTCCCTTCACCCAAGGAGTAGGAAATGGTCTTCCCATGAGTATCTCAAACGGTGACAATTTAGTAGTCCTGCTAGGGGTCATTCTTATTTCAGCTAAAATAGCAGGTAAGTATGTTTGCCAGTGAACCCATGTGCCATCTGTGGCCTTCATCAGTTTCTCCTTAATTGTCCTATTCATTCTTTCTACTATACCTGAACTCTGGGGATGGTAGGGTACATTAAATTTCCAGGTAACCTGTAACCATTTGGCCAGTTCCTGTGTAACTTTGCTAGCAAAGGCAGGGCCATTATCAGAATTGATCTGCAATGGGCAGCCATACCTAGGAATAATTTCAGTGGTCAGTATTTTCACCACAGTCCTAGCATCCTCCTTATTAGTAACAAAGGCCTCGGGCCATTTTGAGAAGTGATCCACAATCACCAGTAAGTATTGTTGTCGCTTACCTGTTTTGGGGATGTGGGTGAAATCTACCTGTAAATGGGTGAAAGGGCCTGTAGGTGGTGGGAGGTGTTCATGTCTAGCCTTATGTGTGACAGTAGTATTGGTCTGTAAGCATTGGACACACCTCTGTAAGTATACCTGACAGTGGAGAGAAAGATTCAAGATTACAAAATGTTGTTGAATAAGACCCAAAGTAACCTTAAGACCCTTGTGACCCACTCCGTGTGCCTGGGAAATAAAAATAGGGGCACTGCTTTCTGGTATCCCTATCTTCCCCTCTTTGGAATAAAGGCCATTTTGGTCTTTTTCCAAACCTTGTTTTTTCCAGTATGCAATATCTTCATGGGTTGCAAAACCCTGAAGTTCTTGCAACAACTGTTCTTCTGGGCAGGTAGGGGGACTAAAAATTGAAAATATCATACGATAATAAATGGTCTGAGATGCTACCTCTTTGGCAATTCTATCTGCTAGTGCATTGCCTAGGGATATATCATCCCTACCTTGAGTGTGAGCTCTACAGTGAATGATAGACACTGTACGAGGAAGTTGTAAAGCATGCAAGAGGTCTTCAATTAATGTCTTATGAGAAATGCCTTTACCATCAGCTGCAATGAATCCTCTTTGTTTCCAAATCATTCCAAAATCATGCACAACCCCATGAGCGTAACGTGAGTCAGTGTAAATATTTACATCTTTGTTAGTGAATAGAGTGCATGCACGTGTGAGGGCAACCAACTCAGCAGCTTGGGCTGACATGTGGGGTATGGAGCTAGCCTCAAGGACCTTATCAGGTAATTGGACTACTGCATACCCAGTCTGGTACTGACCGTCAACAGGTCGGGAACAAGATCCATCCACAAACACATCCTCAGAACCTGGCTGAGGGGTATCCATGAGGTCTAAGCGTGGGGAGGTATGTGTATGTATAGTATGAATACAGTCATGTTCTTCTGGCTGAGTTTTGCTTAGATTAGGGTTGTCATGAGTAAGGATAGCATGCAGTACACTCATAGGGCCAGAATTAATAGGGCCGTACTTGATCTGTAAATTAGTAGAATTTAAGAGAATTATTTCATAACCACTTAATCTTTGTGCTGTCATGTGTTGTGTAGTGAGATTCTTGATCAAATGCAACACTTGGTGTGATGTATGGAGAATAGTGGGATGGCCCAGAGTGATAGTAGTAGCAGTCTCAACAGCCATTGCACAAGCAGCCAGGGCCCTAAGACACGCCGGCATCCCCTGAACCGGAACAGGGACTACTTTGGAGAAAAATGCTACAGGACGCATACCACCTCCATGTTCCTGAGCACAGACCGCAGCCATGGTTTTACAGTTGTCCCTTGCATAAAGATGAAATGGTTTACAATAATTAGGCAGTCCTAAAGCTGGGGCCTGCATAATGCCTACTTTAAGTGCCACATATGCATTGTCCATTTCAGGTGACCATCTGATGTAATCTGGGCTGTCCCCTTTTACAGCCATTCTCAAAATTGAGTCGTAGTATGAACATTCAGGTATCCACTGGCGACAGTAATTGATCATACCCAAGAAGGTGAGCAACTCCTTCTTTGTAACAGGTTTGGGTATCCTTTGTAGAGCTTCAATACGTTTGGAGCTGAGGGAGCGTGTGCCTTGTTGTAACACAAATCCCAGATAGTCAACCTTCTCTGCACCCAATTGGATTTTATGCTTGGCTACCTTGTGGCCTTCCAGTGCTAAATGTTTCAATAAGCTGACAGTGTCTTGTGTGCTGGCTTCCCAGTCAGGACTGCACAGCAGTATATCATCAACATACTGCAGCAGGACGGAACCATGACCAGGGGTCCATGACTTAAGGGTTTGTTGGAGCACCAGCGAATAAACAGCTGGTGAGTCCACGTAGCCCTGGGGAAGGCGAGTCCAGGTGTACTGAACCCCCTCAAAAGTGAAAGCCATAAGTAGTTGTGTCTCTTGGTCAACAGGGACCGAGAAAAATGCATTACTTAAGTCAATGACTGTAAAATACTTAGCTTCATGAGGAATGGCTGTTATCAGAGTGTTAACATCAGGGACAATGGGGGCTATTGGAATAATCAAATTGTTAATGGCCCTAAGGTCTTGAACAAATCTGTAGTCCTTGGTAGCCTTAGGGACCGGGTTAATAGGGGAGTTATAGGGGGAGACTACAGGCCTGAGTATACCCTGTTGAAGGAAGGACTGGATCATAGGTCTGATCCCATCCTTCTTTTCCTGTGACAGGGGATACTGTTTAATATAAATTGGGCTGACATCTGGACGTAGTTTTGCTTTATAAGGGGTACAGTTTATGTATCCTACATCTAGCTTGGATGAAGCCCATACAGAAGCAGGTACCTCATCCATATCCATCTGCAGAAAAATTCCAGAGGATGGGGCAGTAAGGGAAACTGCCATGCCACCCTCAGGGGAAAAATCCACAGTTGTACCCAGTAGTCCAAGGAGATCCCTCCCTAGGAGACTAACAGGGCACCCTGGGATTAGGCTAAACTGGTGGCGTAGAGAAATAGGGGAGTGGGGTAATTTAATTTCCAAAGGGATAGTTTTGAAGGTTTTTGTTAACACTCCATTTATTCCCACAGAAGGTGTCGACTTTTCCCTTGAACCTCTATATACATCCATACAAATGGTGGAACAGGTTGCACCCGTGTCTACAATAAAGGGCATGTCCCTCCCATTTACATTGAGGACTATAAAGGGTTGTTCCATAAAATTAGAGGACAATACAGGAAAAGCTGGGGTGTTACCTTCTGGGCAGCCCTATGGCCATTGAATGTGATGGGTAGGGCCAGATGAAGTTTTAGGGCCAGAGGGGGTATTAGGGGCAGGAGAGCGATGCTGTGGGGGGGTAGTGGGGCTGTTGGGGTATCCATGGGCGACCTGGGGTCTGTTCAGCCTGTCCAGTCTTTTGTCTGATAGGGTTGGGGCACTCATTCATCCAGTGTCCCTGCCTTCCACAGTTAAAACAATATGTCCTTCTATTAGTAAATGGTTGGGACCTATTCCCTCCACGTCCTCTTCCCCCTGGACCCCTAAATCCTCTTTGGTTTAATCTCCTATCACCTCCAAAATCTCTCTGTCTTGCACGATTAGGATCACAATGCTGTAAACCCTGTGACTGATACAACATACTCTTTCCATCTTTACCAATAGCAAAACAACCTGCTGCTTCTCTCTCATGTATTTTCTGCAAGAATTTAACTGGAGTTAAAGTTGACCACTCTGAAATCAGCTGTTTAACTAGCAGTGAATATGCTGGAAGCATATTCCCAATGCAAGTCTGTATTTTTAAAGAACCCATACCACTTTCCTCTGAACCAAGTCCAGCTTCATCTTTCCAACATTTATAAAACCTTTTAGTGAATTCTGTCACTGTCTCCTTTATGCCCTGTTTACAGGACAAAGCAGTGGAGATAGACTGCTTGTCTTTCCATAATCTCATCATCTCTGTTTTTACTTCATCCCACATAATGTCTCTCCCTTTTTCCGTGGCTAATGGATAAGTACTCACTGTGGTTCCATCAAGTGGAACACTGACAGTGGTTACTCTATTCCATTCCCACCCAGATTCTGAGTCATAATCTAATAGTCCATCAATAATTAACTTTATGTCAATCTGTGTCATATTCTGTCCTTGGCACATTCTCTTCAAGTACATAATACATGCAGAAGGATTCGTTCTAGGATTTGGAGCTCCTTTAATTATGTCCTTCAATTCTCCTGGAGTTAAAGGTTTCAAAATTAATTGATCTCCAACAGTCAGAAAAGGATATGTCTGTTGTGTGTCTAATTCATCAAATTCTTCTTCCCCTTCCTCCTCTCCATCATCTTTATCTGTTCTTTTAACACCCAGTCCCATCTTTTTCTTATACCTAGTCTGGATACCCTTAGGGGACCTTCGCTGAATTTGTTTAACCTTCTCATCTTGGGGAGAAAGGGAACTTGATGGAGCAGTGGCTATTCTTTGTGATCCAACTGCTACAGCAAGAACTAAATCATCGTCATTTTTAGGTGATAGGTTAGGATATAGTGGGCTAAAGTATGGGGTGTAATTAGGAGGAGGCTGTGATTTGCAGGTATTAACAACAGTTTCTTTAATTTTCTTTTTATTATTTTTATTCTTTTTTATCCTTTTCCCCTCTTGGGAAACAGGGTACCAGTGAGGTGCAACCTTAAGCCAATTCTCACCCCCCTGTCTCATGTATTCTTTGTCCCATTCTGGATCTCCCTCATACCAAGGAAAAGATTTCTTATCTTCCAAACATAATCCCTTAACCATACTCAGAAAATAATCATCATTAGCCCCGTCTTTAGGGAAGGGAGTTTCACTGCCCTGTCCTTGTGTCCACCCTGACAAATTGTCCACCCAAGGATCCACTAAATAATCCCCCAGTTCACCAACTCTAGCAACATACTGCTTGCAAGTCTCCCCTGGATTAGGGTGAGGGTATTTTTTAGACTGGGAAGTACCCATTTCAAACTCAATAAGAATCGGATTTGGAATAGCTGATTATTCAGTGGTTAAAGAACAGCTGTCTGGAATCAAAAGTTCCCACAAAACTGTTACTTCTCCACGAGCAGTATCGCTTAAAACCAGAAATTCCAATTCCTTGCACAATTATATAAAAAGCCACCAAATATATTGCATGCAAAAAAAAAGTTGCAGGACAGCCAAAATACCCATCAAGTACAGAGTTAACAATTCTTTTTTTTTTTTTTAGCTTAACAAACTAACAACTAAGTTAAATCAATACCAAAGTCCACCAAAGACTGGAAATCTGTTTTACAACCTACCAAAGGTAACCTCTACCAAAGAGGGGTCTAGGGACGTCTCCCATAGACAAGTAAGGCTTTACTCCTACCCAAGGAGACCTTATAAAATCTTAAATCCCCTTTCAATAAAAACGTAGTTATGCAATGTATGAAGGATGGAAAAAGAAAAGTAAAAGAACAAAGGTGAAAAAGACACCCAATTCTCTTACCTGATCTCTTTCGTTCCGTTCACAAATGCACCCCAAAAACTTCTGACACCAATTTGTAGGGGATAGGATGGATATTTTGCCGGAGCTGCACCCTCTTTATCAGACAGGATCCTGGGAATCAGTCAAGAAGACAAGACATGTGTTCTATAACCAATTCAAATTTTAATTGATACATCAGTTATACTTATACCCCATTTTCATGTCGGTGGGGGTCATTGAGCATTGTGACATAGTTTATTTTTCACAAGTTGTTTTCAGTTATAATTCGATGTTACATAATGTATGCATATTGGATAAAACCCAGATGATTACAAATACAGAAATCTTGGACAATTAACAAGGTCATTCCAGAATCCTTATCATGTCATGTCATGTCATGTCATGTCATGTCACGCCATGTCATGTCACGCCATGTCATGTCATGTCATGTCATGTCACGCAAATATCTTCTTTCCAGGAACATGACAAAATCATGCTTCAATAACATTTCTGAGAATTGGAGATACAATTCCAAATTTATTCTTGATTCAAATTAACCCTTACATGAACAGTTAGGATATAGAGCAAAATGGATATTCATATCCTACAGCGTCGTGTGGATGAGTGGTTTGCTGATGTCAACGTTGTGGATTGAGTGGCCCATGGTGGCGGTGGGGTTATGGTATAGGCAGGCATAGCTTATGGACAATGAACACAGGTGCATTTTTAATGCACAGAGATACCTAGATTTCAGTAAGGCTAATAAATAAACTGCAATCTTTAAGTTTGGATTCCAATATTGTTGAATGGCTAAGGCAGTGGCTGAGAGACAGGCAACATAGGGTTGTAGTCAATGGAGTATATTCGAAGCATGGGCTTGTCACCAGTGGAGTACCTGAGGGACCCATTCTCTTTAATATTTTTATTAGTGATATTGCAGAAGGTCTTGATGGTAAGGTATGTTTTTTTGCTGATGATACTAAGATATGTAACAGGGTTGATGTTCCAGGAGGGATAAGCCAAATGACAAATGATTTAGGTAAACTAGAAAAATGGTCAGAGTTGTGGCAACTGACATTTAATGTAGGTAAGTGCAAGATAATGCATCTTGGATCTAAAAACCCACGGGCAGAGTACAGAATATTTGATAGAGTCCCAACCTCAACATCTGAGGAAAGGGATTTAGGGGTGATTATTTCTGATGACTTAAAGGTAGGCAGACAATGTAATAAAGCAGCAGGAAATGCTAGCAGATTGCTTGGTTGTATAGGGAGAGGTATTAGCAGTAGAAAGACGGAAGTGCTCATGCCATTGTACAGAACTGGTGAGACCTCACTTGGAGTATTGTACGCAGTACTGGAGACTGTATCTCCAGAAGGATATTGATACTTTAGAGAGAGTTCAGAGAAGGGCTACTAAACTGGTTCATGGATTGCAGGATAAAATTTACAAGGAAAGGTTAAAGGAACTTAACATGTATATCTTGGAGGAAGGACGAGACAGGGGAGATATGATAGAAACATTTAAATACATAAAGGGAATCAACACAGTAAAGGAGGAGACTATAGTTAAAAGAAGAAAAACTACCACAACAAGAGGACATAGTCTTAAATTTGAGGGGCAAAGGTTTAAAAATAATATTTGGAAGTATTACTTTACTGAGAGGGTAGTGGATGCATGGAATAGGCTTCAAGCTGAAGTAGAGGTTAAAACAGTAAAGGAGTTTAAGCATTAGTGGGATATGCATAAGGCTATCCTAACTATAAGATAAGGCCAGGGACTAATGAAAGTATTTTAAAAAAAATTAGGCAGACTAGATGGGCCGAATGGTTCTTATCTGCCGTCACATTCTATGTTTCTATGTAATAGTCCAAGACCAGTAACTGAAGGCTGGACTAGGGGTATCTGTTCGCTTGGATTGGGAGCTGTGGCTAAATACTAATGCAAAGTGGCGAAATTGTATTATAGGCTACTGTGGTGATTAGTGACGCCATTTACAGTTTCTAAGTGTCGACAGAGTCTCTATCTATGATTTTGCCTATAGGGTATAGGAGCCACTGATGTAAGTGGTGGGGTGTTGGCCTCTCAGTGATAATTACCAGATATAAAACAGAATGGAAGTGACTGATGAAGCCCTTACTAATACCATTGCAAGGCTATAGCTATGAGTTGGGCCGATGGGTTATCCACGTCTGAAATTGGAAGGACACTGGCCTTGCGTGTCCTAACCGAAGGCGAAGAAGCCTAAGAATTAGTATCTATTAGTTTGATTTAAGTGGTTGGGCTGGTCCTTTAATGGCACTGGGGTGGGGCGTCACTAGCACAGGGAATCATGAGATTTATTATGTACCTTTGTTCTAAATGTAGGATATTAGAATACTCAATCAGTCTTATAGTGAGCTGTCCTAGATAAATAAATGAGTTTATCAGTACAAGCTGGCTTATTAAAGTCATTTTTAATGGAAATTGTAATAAGACTAATACGTACCTTCCTCTAGTTATGACCTAGTTGTGGTACTCTTCACCTTAAATTAGGTATTATACACAAGAAAAGGCTTAGTAAGACCAATGTTTAAATATATAAAAAGAAACCTACCCACCTCCAGTGGGAAATGCAGATAAAGTACTTCAGTTAGTTGGCCTAGTTTTGGAATGCTTGAACCTAAAAACCTACAAGGGAACAAGGAATATATCAATCTATCCATACAATATTGATTGAACATAATTAGAATCTGACACAACATACCTGTATTGATTCGAGAGCAAGTCTAATGAGAAACGGAATACTTTAATGCAGTGATAACCAGAATTTATAACAAATACATTTTTATGCATATATCAACAGGCCATCAAACCGTATCATTATGACGTAATACCCCTTAACCATCACAACTTATGACCTGAACTTGAGAGAACCCTTAAACAGTAAATAAACCTATGATTAGCAGGAATTCAATTTCATACTTAATCCCCGATAATATCCATAAGTACCATAATAGCAATTTAATCATTATTTTTTTTTTTTTGCTTTAATAGTATCTACTTTAACTGATTGTTACATCTATTGTCATACATGAGAATTAAGCAGTTCGTTAGTTTCATTTAGTTCGTGGCTCTAATAGTTTGTGTGAAATAGTACCTAAATCACTTGAGTTTGTGAGTTAGCGTAGCTGACTTTGACTTATAGTTTTATGTGGAAAAGAGGGTTTGTGAGTTTAGCGTTCATATGTTTTAACCGTACGTGAGTTTGAATAGTCTATTTAAGGTTTGTGTGTTTGTGCGAGACTTTTGTTTAAGAATAGTGATTTAATTTGAAATCATAGTGATTTCATTGAGAGACATTTTGAAAAATGTAACAAGCCCTACGGGTGTATAAAAAAGTTTTGCCGAACAAAGTGCATTAGGCATGAAAGGCTAGGTTACTCACGATTATCAGTCTCCTGCTGAAGGGCTCTGGTTTTCTGTTCGCGGAACTAATGCCGATACTTACAGTGATCCGATTGTTGAAAATTGTTCGCGAGAACCAAACCATTTGTGGGAAAACACGGGAACTTCTCCAGAGGTCAGCTTTGCACCGGAAGTAATCATAAGCCATGTAACCCCTCCCACAATTCCAGGTTCACGCCTCAGAGTATGTGTCTGCTGTATACAACAGCTTTGAAACACAACTCAGGAAGAGGAGCAAAGTCAGTGAACCACTTATGGACAGCTGCTTCGTTGTTAATGCAACTCATCCGCATGAGGTTGGTTACTGGCTTGCTATGGGGGCTTGGCATTACTTGTAAAGTACATACCAGGAGAGTTGTGGTGGGGGAAAAAAGTGGATGAAAACCCCTTCCACCTGAAGTAAGTGGATAGTTAATACATTGCTAAACACAAATACACACACCAGTCAAGCCATAAGACTTGCTTTTCCCACAGAAATCTCACTTTAACAGTGCTCTCACTACTGCAAGGGATTCTGGGTAGGCATATGCAAATGAGTTCAACAAAGAACCACATTTTTGCCACATAATTCTACTTTAACCCCTTAAAGGACCACTATAGTGACAGGAAAACATACTCGTTTTCCTGGCACTATAGTGCCTTGAGGGTGCCCCCACCCTCAGGGTCCCCCTCCCGCTGGGCTCTAGAGGGAGGAAGGGGTTAAACTTATCTCTTTCTCCAACCCCGGGCGGGGAGCTCTCTTCCTCGGCTGAATGCGCATGTGCGGCAAGAACCGCGCACATTCAGCCAGTCTTATAGGAAAGCATTTTCAATGCTTTCCTATGGAGGAAAGCATTTTCAATGTTTTCCTATGGACGCTGGCGTCTTCTCACTGTGATTTTCACAGTGAGAAGCACGCAAGCGCCTCTAGCGGCTATCAATGAGACAGCCACAAGAGGCTGGATTAACCCTAATATTAACATCACAGTCAGGGCTGTCTTTAATGCGGGGCAAACGGGGCAGCTGCCCCGGGCCCAGTTTCTCTTGGGGGGCCCGAGGCACCTGCCCCGTGGGCCCCGCTGCCCTC